GCTGAATGGAGAATGGATCCAAGTGCAGAGAGATCCGAGGCAGGCAGACCCACCAGCAAGCTATTACAGTAGTCTGCCCCAGGGTGGAGAGAATGTCAGAGAACAGGAGGGGGTGTATTCAAGAGATGCTGCAGAGGTGAAATTGACAGGCCTTGGCCATAGCTGGGATGTGTGGGGTGAGAGATAGTGGGGAATCCTGGATGACTCCTAGCTTGCTTAATAAATGCTTGTTGATTTGCTAACTTGATTTGAGTTTCATTGAGTTGAGTTTGCAGAAGAGAAGACTTGGGGGTATGGGACTTAATAGCCATCTTTGGATATCCTAAGAATGTGGAAGGATTCCACTTGTCATGCCTCAGAAGGCAGAGCCAAGAGGAAAAGGGAGCGGCTAACTGTTTTAAGTCCAGGCTGGATGTTGGGGAAATCTTCCCACTAATCCCAAAGTTGACTAGGCTGTCTCAGCAGGTGGTGACCTTTCCCTTCTTGGAGTTCTTCATAGGGAGACTGGACAGTCACTTGTTAGGGATGTCATCGTAGGGATGGTATGTAGCAGCTCAGCTGTGGGTTGGACTCAGTGGCTTCCAAGGAATTTTCCAGCTCTGGGACTCTGTGCCTGGAGAGTTCTGCCTCCTCCTCCCCATAACACAAAGACCTTGTGTTCAACAGTTCAACGGTTCAACGGTTCAAAGCGTTGGCAAAGCCAAGACCTGGAGCAGGAGATTTTCGTGGCTGATCTTACTTCTCCATTCAAAGCATCCACCAAGAAGGCAAGGAGAGGGGGAGGGTCCCCTGACATCTTCCCTGTCCTGTGCATCTCTGCTGAAGACACACTTGCAACCTTAGAATAGGGAGCCCAACTCCAGTGAACCACCGGCAGAGCCTCCAAGCTGAGCCTGGGCTAGCTGGGCAAGTTGGCTGTCCAGCCTCAGGTGATATCCTCCCCACCTTCCCAAATAAGAAAAGAAGATGAGCAGAACAACCCGATGATCTCAGGGCATGAGGTGGGAGTGATAGACAGCGGCTGGTTAGCATTCTGCCCTTGACATAGTTATTAATGCAATTCTGCCCCCAGAAGTAGAGCAGGCGGTTAGAATAGGCTGAGGCAAGGAAGATTTTTATCAGGGTCCTTCAATCCTGCTCCCACCACCCCAAGCCACCGACATCCTCTTTCTAACAGAACAGGATGTGCTACTTCTCTCTCCCATCTAAACAGGAAGCTGAGCAGATGGTCTTGGAATAGAAGGCTTCCACCTCAAGCATCTCATTCTCCCAAGCTTCTTGGATTTCCAGGGAGCAGAGCAATCTTTACTCCCTAGCCCCAACACACACACACACACACACACACACACACACACACACACACACGGGATGGTGTAGCTCTTTCCATTACCTGGGAGGCAAAGTTCGGACTTCCTGGCCAGCGCTCACATGCCCTGAGGTTCCTGCCTGGTATGGATTCCAACTGCAGCTCTGGCATTTGTTTTTTGTGACTCTGGGCAAATCCCTTCACCTCCCTGGCCTTCAGTTTCCTCACCTGTTCAGTGAAGGATTTGGACTAACTGATCTCTGACGTCTTTTCCAGCTCTAAATCAATGAACATGTGACCTTCATAAATTTCATTTTATATATAATACTTATATTTGTAAGATGATAGATAGATAGACAGACAGACACAGACAGATGGGTGGATAGATAGATTTTGTTTTGTTGTTATTCAGTTGTGTCCAACTCTCCACGACCCTATTTGAGGTTTTCTTGGCAAAGAAACTGGAGTGCTTTGCCATTGCCTTCTCCAACTCATTTTACAGATGAGGAAACTGAGGCAAACAGAGTTAAGTGACTTGCCCCACGTCACCCAGCTAGTAAGTATCTGAGGCCAGATTTGAACTCAGGAAGATGGATCTCCCTGACTTTAGGCCCAGCACTCTATCTGTTGTGCCACCTAGCTGCTCAGATAGATAGCTGGATGGATGAATAGATGATTGATAGATAGATAGATAGATAGATAGATAGATAGATAGATAGATAGATAGATATTGTATCTTACCTCTCCAGTCTTCTTACATTTACTCTTCTCTACATACATGAGATCCAATGACACTGACCTCCTTGTGATTTCTCGAAGTCCTTCCCTTTTCACTAGCTGCCCATGATGTTCTCTCTCCTTATCTGCCTCCCAGCTTTCCTAACTTTCTTCAGATCTTAGCTCCAATCCTGCCTTCCACAGGAGGCCTTTCCTGCCCCACCCCTCCCCCACTAATGCTCTTCCTCTAAAATTACCTTCCTTCTACTCTGTATACACCTCATATTCACCTAGTTGTTTGCATGTTTTCTCTCCCATTAGAATGTGAGCTTCTTGAGGGCAGAGACTATTTTTTTGCCTTTCTGTATCCCCAGCACTTAGCACATTGCCTAGTACATAGGATGGTCTTAATAAATGGTTGCCATTGCTTGATGACCACGTACTGTGTTAGGTGTGAATACTGCAGAGAGAAAAGCAAAACAATTTCTGCCAGAGAATTTAAGGGCTGGAAGGGACCTCATCCGTGATTTTACAGATGAAGAAACTGAGGGAGGCTAGAAGAGAATAAGTGACTTTTCCAACATCACCAAGAAGTAAGGGTCAGAGATGGGATTTCAGACTTCTGACTCCAAATGCTGCCAACAAAATGTGCACAGATGAGTAAACACAAAATATGTGCAGAATCATTTGGGGCAATAGGAAAACACTAACAACAGGAAATCACGAAGGGCCTGGAGGAGGTGGCACCTCAGTTGATTCCTGAAGGCAGATAGGGATCTCATGGCTGCAGGGATGGGGAAAACCATGCCAGACATTATCTGTTAGGGTGCTGGGCTGGTGCCTAGGATGTTCACCTAGAGAACACCAGTGAACTTATCAGTGGAGCCCTCACACCAAGCCAGAGATGCGCATGGGCACTCTCCTGCCTCCTCACACAGGCACTAGCCTGTCAGTCACTGGGATTCTATGATTCAAAGCCCCAGGGCAGGATCCAGAAGATAAAATAGGGAACAAGGGTGAGGGAGGGGGAGAGAAATATGGATAGAGGTAGAGAGAAAGAAAGCTACATTTGTATACATAGAGAAATACATTGATAATAGATAAATCCATAAATTCGTAGACAGATGGAGATAGACACATTTGTACCGAGACATCTAGATAGTAAGACCTTAAGATAGCAAGATACATCGATAATAGATGCATAGAGGTAGATACATATGTAGAGAGATACATAGAAAGAATCGATACAAATAGATACAAAGACATATACTTCTACATGTAGAGATACATCTAACACATAGATAGATACATAGAATATTTATTAAATGCTTACCACTACCAGGCATTGTATTAAATGCTGTGGATACACATCCCACAAGGCACCAAGAAATCCCTTAACTTTCAGGTTCTTGCATTCTTGTGGGAGAAGACAATGTACAAAAGTAAGTCAGAAGGGAAGAGTTAGAGGGGAGCAGGGCAAATAGAGACACTGGACAGGACACTGGAAGGGGCTCGTTTTGGGCAAGATAAGATGAAAGCTAGCAGAGCACAGAGCACATGAGTGGAGCCCAGGTGACTCCTGGGGAGAAGGTGGAGATAATGGCTTCTCTCTCATGCTAGGTCTTCTTTAGGTAGAGATTTGGTCACGCTATTTCTCTATTCAAAATCTTGCAACGGCTCCCTATTTTCAACTGAAATTCAGACTCCTGAACTTGGCATTTCAAGGTTCTCCAAAATCTGGCACCTTCCCTACTTTTTCAGGTTCATCTCCTCTTAATGTCCTTCTGTGTGCTCCATACACCACACACACTGGCTCATGACTTCCTGAGGAGCCCTAGGCTTTCTGGCCCCTGTGTCCTTGCTCAACCTGCCCCCCCCAGGGGTGGGGAAACTGTGGCCTTCTAGGTCCTTAAGTATGGCCTTTTGACTGAATCCAAATTTTACAGAATGAATCCTTTTGTTAAGGACCACTTGACCACTGATTTCATACCAGTTTCTTCTACCCACCAAGCCCCAATGAGAGGAGCCAGGTCATCTAACCTCTTCTTTGCTGCTTTATCTCATTTTCTTGATTAAAAACTTTTTTCAATGTAAAGGAAAGAAAAAAGAATAAATTAATACCCCAGTGGCAGTGGGTTGCTTCAAAGAAATAAGAAGAAAGTAAAAGTAGTCCAATGGTCTCTGAGGTTTTCTCTAATTGCTTTATTATCTGCAGGAATTCCCCTGAAAAACAACACACTTGTCATCTCCTCTTATTCTAATATATGTAGTTCCTTCTTAGGATTGAATTTTTTTAAAGCCATGGGTTCATCACTACTCAGTTGCAAAGAGGCACATTCCAGCTTGATGTCTGTCAAAGCTTCAAGATCATCAGAACAGGCCAAGAGTGGAAGGGGCAGGCTCGGGGGCCAGGGGGCACTCACAAGAAAAGACTGGCCAACCACCCATTGAGCATGGCCCAGAGGGGATCTGTGATCAGGAATGGGATAGACTAGATGCCTCCTGGGGGCCTGGCCTGCTGTACAAGACTGTGTGC